AGGTACACACAGAACATACACAGAGACACACACACAATGCACACACAGAGACACACAGACACACATACAGGCACACACATATACAGAACACACATAGACACACACACACACACACATACACAGACACATGGTGGGGGGATTGAACAGCCACATTTTTCCAACTAGAAAGACAAGGTAGATGACAAGGGAGAGCTGTGGGTCTCCTTTAGGGAAAATGTGACGCAGATTTCAGTTATCTGTCTATTGAACACAGATGAGATTTTCATTGTGGTGGCCCGAATGGAATCCTGAAGGGACAGGAATCCTTAGCTCTGGGCAGAACACACTACGGCATCTTGAAAAGATCAGTAACTGTGGGTCATAGGGTTGGATTCCAGGACTCCTGTCTCTCTCTCTCTCTCTCCCCCCCCCTCTCTCTCTCTCTCTTCTCAGTTTTCTTCTTTGCACAATCATTCTCATCAGTTCCAGACTCTGTCACTCCAGCCTAGAACAAGATGTAGTTTGGCTACACCTAGGTTTGGGAGATCGGGGAAGCCAGAATGCACCCTGCTCCTCAGGGAGAGGCTGGCAGATGTGGCCGGATTCCTAGATGTGGGACCATGAAGGCATCAACCTCTTCCAGACCTCCTTGAAATGTTATCCATTCCCCATCCACCCTGAATCTTCAAGGCCAATCATCTCAAGGTAGCCCTTGAGCAAGGGATGGCATGCCGGGACAGAACAGTGCAGCGGTCAGAATGTGCCTATGTGGTGTCATAGGGGTGGGTAGGCATGAAGCTTGGCATCTCTTGGGAGGCTGATCTAACTTTGCCTGCTCTGGGCTATTGCTCCCTACTCCCAGAGCCCTGAACTCTTACCAGCTGACCTGACCGCTGAGGGAGGGGACAGGAAGTGAAGCTGGGACACCTGAATGTGGTCCTCACTTTCTTCCTCTGTACAAAGGGGTTGGCAATGCCTTCTCAACCACATTCACAGACTAGCAGAAAAGCATGTGGGAAAGTCCCCCAGCACACGTAAGCTGCACATCCATGTTTGGTTTGTTTGGGGGAGGGGGAGTCACTAAAGGAGTCAGCAGACCCCAGGCATGCCTGAGCTGGCAGAGTGGCCCCTGTGTCCTCACCAAGTCAGTATAGAAGAAAAGGAAAAATTCTGCACAATGGTTCTTAACTACTGTTCTATTACTGTGAAAAGTTAATCGGGGGCTCACTTATAGTTTCAGAGGGTGTGTTCATGACCTTTGTAGCAAGGAGATGGCAGTGAGCAGGCAGGCCTGGCACTGCAGTAGTGACTACAGCTTACATATTGACACCCGAGAATAAGGCAGAGAGAGCTGACTGGGAATGGCGTAGACTTTTAAACCTCAAAGCCCATGCCCAGTGACACTGCTCCTCCAACAAGGCCACATATATCAATCCTTCCCAAACAGTTCCACCAACTGGGGACCAGACATTCAAACATATGAGCCTCTGAGAACCATTCCCATACAAACCAACGTAAGAATTTATAGTGAGAAGCTACAAATGGTGTCACAGGCCTGCAATCTCAACTACTTTGGAGCCTGAGGTAGGAAGATAATATATTCCAAGACTTGTCTGAATTATGGAGTGAGTTGAGCCAGCCTGCATAACTTAGTAAGACCCTGTCTCAGATATTATTTTCATTATATTTATTGTGTGTGTGTATGTGTGTGTGCATGTGTGTGTGCGTGCATGCCCAAGAGGAGAGCACATCATGGTGTGTGTCAGAGGTCAGAGGTCAGAGGTCAGAGGACAACCTGTGGGAGTTGGGTCTCTCATTCTGTCATGCAGGTCTCAGGGACTAGACTTAGGTCAGCAGGTTCAGAGGCAGACATCTTTCTTTACTCGATGAGTCATCTCTCAAATCCAAACTCTCTCTTAAAATTTTAAAAGTAACCTGGTATGGTGGCACATGCTTGTAATCCCAGCACTTGGGAGGTGTAGGCAGGAGGATAAGAAGTTCAAGGTTATCCTTGGTTACAGAGCAAGTTTGAGGCCAGCCTAGGCTACTTAAGATCCTGTTTCAAAAAAGTAAGCAAATAGAATCACCAAGATGATTCTACCACCAAGCCTGATGACCTGAGTTCGATCCCTGGGACTCACAATGATCCCATGGTGGGATCCACACAGTGGAAGGAGAAAACTAACTCGAGCAACTGGTCCTCTGACCGCCATATTCATGCCCAAACACATGCACATGTGCACAAAACAAATAAAAATGCAATGAAAAATTTAAAGATAAATGAACAGAAAAATATTTTTAAAGGCCCAAGGATATAGCTCAGTGGTAGGGGACCTGCCTTATGCATGAGGCCCTGGGCCGACCCCCAGAACCATGGTAATAATGATACTAGAAGCATGAAATGTGTTTCTACACCTTACAGCTTTAGGCCTTAGGTTAGGGAAACTTAGGGAAACTTCAGGATTTGGGACACTGAGTATGTTTCTTTCTCATTTTTGATTATTAGGTATGTGCACACACTCATGTGTGTGTAAGTGTGTGTGTACATGTTCATGTGTGTATACGTTTGCACATTCATGTGTGTGTTCATGCATGTATGTTCATGTGTGCATATTCATGTGCGTACATATGTGTGTATAAGCATGTTCATGTGTGTCTTTGTGTGTGTGTATGCATGGGCCTGTCATGTGGTAGTCAAAAGTTGGTATCAGATATATTCCTCAATCACTTCTCCACATTAGTATTTTTTATTTGTTTACTTGTTTT